TTCAATGATCTACAACCATAATTATCCCGTTTCAGGGTATTATAGTTTTAATCAACAGCTTCTAATGCCATGAGGTTAAAAAACTAATATAAGGAAGCTTTCCGATGTGCAGTTTTTAATATGTATAAAACCAACCAAAAAAGGCTTTTAAAATAACCATATTTGGCTTCCTTAATGTAAATGTGAACAATCTTTTTTGGAAATACCTTTAATAAGTTAGTTAGTGCTGATCGATTCAGTTTAAACTAATAATTTGTACAAAAAAAGGAAGCCTTTTCGACGCCATCAGCCATTTTTCAAGAATCGATCCGGGGGTGAAGCGCCTTAGATTTAATCGAATGTTAAATCCTTTACACGAGTGTGTCCATATCCTAACAACAACAATGGAAACGCATGCTCACACCACTCCCTCCCCCCATTGCATTTGTCTAGGAGAGGGTGGCAGCGTGGGTTGGTTGGTGGTGGCACCACCATCGCGGTATCTTCGGCGTCGGTGGTTGCTAAATGCAATTTATCATAAAAAGAAAAAAAAAAACAAAAAAAGATAGAAGCTTGAAATTGAAGCAGACGACCCCTTCAAGGGCTGGGGTGAGAGTAAGAGTCAAAGTTCGCTGGGAATAGAAATATAGTAGAGCTGGAATGGCGAGGGTAAACATGGCACACACACCCACACCCACGCACACACAGCTCATCTAATAAGACGCATTTAGCGTCTGTCAGTCTCGAGTGTGGAAGGGAAGGCAAGCCGCCGAGGAAAACGCAAATAGGAAAAAGTTATGGAGCTGTAATAAATTGGATTAGTTCGAGAAGCTCCGCCATTTTGTCTTCCACGCTGAAATTTATAAGCACACATATACAACGGAGCGAGAGGGGAAAGCGAACTTAACTACACACTTTGCAGGACGCACGCTGCTTTTCATTTAGAAGGGATTAGCAAGGGTTTCGGAGGGTCCAAAAGGAAAAGCCTCAGCAGCGCCAGAGCAGGGGAGGCCCTTAAGAGCGCCACTAAAGGACGAACCGGGGCACCACCGTCTCTATCTGGCTGTAGGCTACGTGCCAAATCAAAATCAGATTCCCATTATGGGTTTCACTCAACTCGCTCGAATTGCACTTGAATTTGCATATGAAAGCGATTCATTTTTTCTCTCCGTCGTCCTGCCTAATATTTGGCACCTTTCTGCCTTTGTTCGCTAAATGATTCAATCCAATGTTCGCTTTCAGATTGTCTGTTATGTGAAGCGACCTTCCCCTGCCATCGTTCCGCCACGGCATCCTGCACCAGCTTCCCGATTTTCCCGCTTCATCAATTGGTTTCATATATGCAAATTTTCAAAACTCTCCTGTATCCTCGGGTCTATGTACCCCGTTGGATTTTCTTTTTTATTTCGGGATGCAGCTGCCTCTTTCTGAGATGCTGTTTTGGGTTTGGTAATTGAGCTATTCATTTCGCCGTCGGCATCCATTTGAGTTATTGGTTTCTATGATTTGGCTTGGATAATCGGATAACTAAGACGAAAAGAACTGTTCAAATAAAAGTAGAACTTTACATGATCTACTTGGAAAAATGTTTTCTTAATCAAAAGTTAGCGAGCTAGTCAACTAAAAACTGCGTTCTCTTTTGCAATACATTATTATTCAGAGGCCTCCCAGTATCCAGTTCTTAAATTTTAAGCAAGTAGCTCCAGGTCCACGGGTTTCTTAGCGCTCTCAAATTAAATTATTAATTCACATAAGTCAATGCAAACAGAAACCCCTTGTGACAACTATATTACTCATCCCTTTCCCGATCCTGGTCGCTGGCTGTTAATTTATTTAACTACCAAGCTTCTAAGGCTGCGTTTACCCCACATATCAAAGCTTCGTTTGCCATCAAATGGATTTCATTTTGAAATCCAATAACTGCCAAAAGGAAACGTTTTCTAGCCAACCCTTTTAGTCGCTATCTACTTTTGAGAGGGGAGTGGGATACGAGTATATATCGTAAACTGAAACATTCTCGCAGTACATAATGTAGCAGGCTGTGTGTGTGTGTGTGCGTGTATAAGCACCCGTATACAGAAACGGCCAGAGCAGAGCACGTAGCAATGAGTTTTGCACTTTACGCAACTTTTCCCCGCCAGCGCAAAAAGGGTTGAAAGTGCGTATGGACATGGCAGGACAAACACCCTTACAACACACATACACACACACTCTCCGCGGCGTTGCCAGATTGTCATCGCTGGCATCGCGGCCTCATCGCTCCAAAGCATCATCGTCGTCTCTTTCCAAAAACCCTTTTCTTGACAGACGCTGTCCCGCGTCGGCGGCCATTATTTTCCTTTCGAGCTCTTTCCCTGGCCTCGGACCTGCCGCCCACCACCACCTGGCCGATCCACCCCCCGGGGACCTTTGCTCCTCGCCGCTTTCTTCGACGTTATTGTAATTTTCTTAAAAATATTTTGGCAGTAAACTTTCTAGATTTAAGCCCTTCCCGGCGAGCTTTCATCTCCGCTTCAGCCCCCGTCATCCTTTCAAGCCATTCCCGAGGTTTTGCGGTTTGCACTGCTTTACGGCGCCTCCCAGTCAACTCTTCCACAACCCCAATCCCCTCCTGCGCTACAGCGTCCCCACAGCCACATCTTCGCCCATCAACAGCAACCAGAGAACTCGCGTTTTAATCTCATTTTATGAAATGAAAATTTTTCAATTTTTCGACAAGAGATAAACTTTTTCTACTTGAATGCGTAATTACTCGGCTTTCGAATGAAATGCTGTGAATTTCCTCAGAGTTCTCTGCTGACTTTTGTTGGTCACCATCGCCGCTGGTGATGCGATGTTGCCGCTGCCACAGCTGTGCTGCGGTGAGCAACGATGCTGCTGTGGATCTGTATCCATTGGCTTTAATTTCCATAATGGCGGACGATAGGCATAGCTGTTATTAAGATTATTAAAACGTGCTGGGAGACGGTCTGACTTATGATGTGGTCAGTTAAGTCGTGCCGTGATGGAAAGGGATGTGCGGCTAACCTTAGCCGAAGGATAGTTTAAATGAGAAAGCAATATTGAAATAAAAAATAATCCTTGATCCATTGATCCATTATTAGTGTTAAGTTCCAATACTTCGTATATAAAAGATTTTTCAAAAGGAAAATATTTCTCAGACAACAACATCGAGGGTTCAAAACATTACCTGAAAATAAACTCGTAGATAAATAAGGAACCTTTTACGAGGAAAACTTCAGTTCACTGGGCAGTATATAATATAAAATAAAATAAATAAAAATTGTTTATTTCTAAGTTGCTAACTTACTGCAAGCCTATTCTTGGATTGTGGAAACTTAGGAATAAAATGTCAGGTTCCAAAGCAATGATAATCTCTGTTGTTATTAGAAATGGCTACACGCATAGCGAAAAAAGAGAACCCCAAGAAGCAACGACATAGGCAAGAGAAAAATTTAAGTAAAACGGAAAACAAAGAAATGTCTAAAGATGGTAAAAAACTTTTCCCTAACTTTGTTTTTGCTTAATGAGCAAATACACATACATGCACACACGCTATACCCAAGAAGGCATTAAAAAATGCGTTAAGGGCGCGTTGCCAAGGGCCCAGAGAACAAATATTAATTCTTGGCATAAGCGACCCACACACACATACGCACACAATTTACAGACACATGCCCTTAAAAAAGCCTAGGATATTTAAAAATGTTTCGGATTTTGGGGAGGTCCAAGGACTCCACCTACACTAGCTGCAGGGGTTGATTCTTATGGTACCCTGTACATGTGAGATAGGGTCGAGTCGATTAACTATCTTTATAGATAAATATAAAAAAACCCTTGTGTTTGTCAATAAATTGACATAAAAAGATATATATATATATAATAACATATAAACAAATTAAAAATTAATAAATGGCATTAGGAATTACACTACTTAGTAAAAACATTCTGCTAAGTTAAGAGGATATTCAAAAATTCGATTCCCTAACAATTTATTTTCCCAAAAAATGCACCGGACCAACGTTAAAAAATTAGCATTGGGACGGTCTTAATGCCGTACATGTCGCTTTGGGTGTTGCCTCCCATCGCTTACTACCCCCAACGCCATCAATCCCTCCTCACGGCAACCTGTACCCACCAAGCCACACTCTGGATTCTACGTAAATTATTTAGACTCATTTAATGTGCCGCTGAGAAGCATCGCTTTTTTACGATTTTCAATTTTTATTTTGGCTTTTCCTTGCCACCCTTCAAATGCGTTTTTGTTCTCTTCGGGTACATTTAGTTTGGGGTATTTTTCTGCGTAAAAGCAAAGAAATTTCGGTGGAAAATTAAAATAATGTGTCCCCTGTCGCCGCCAGACGCGACTCGCGGACTTGAATATGATGGGGATGGACGGGGCGCTGGACCAGCTGGTTTTATTACTCGCTGCAGCAACGCGATAATCTTCCCGTATGGGACAAAAAACTCAGACAATAAGTGCCTTCACAAAAATTAACATATGAATATATGCGTTATAGCTGTTAATACTAATTACTATGACCAATCTCTGAAATCAATCCAAACAACGGTCAAGCTGAAAAGGCTCATAGACCCTCGGGACCCTACCACCAATTCAGGGCTAATTACTGCCACTTGAATTGATAATGTGATTCAAGTCATGTTTGCCTTGTCACTCGACCCCTAATAACACGCTCGTTAATTCGTGTTCACACTGACCACTGGCGATTGGACAAGGGTAGGAGGGTGTAAAACAGGAAGTGACCAGGCCAGCCCAGTGCAAAGCGGTCAGTCGGGTCAACTGGTTTTTAGCTGACTCCTGAAGTGTTTATCCTGCCGTATAGCGATTGTTTGACTTTGGCTTTGGGCAGTGCATAAATTAGCATTATACAAAAGGGCACCACATAGGGGGATTTTATAGCGGTCATTGGGCAATTAGCATTGTAATTGATGTGCGTATAAAGGCACGATACAAATTAATACAAAAAAGGAGAAGGCTCAGACCCTGCACAACAAACAAATAGCTTGTCTTGCACCTTTATTAGTACTTGATCTTGTCTTCAAGTATAATAGGCCCCGACATTACATAGTTTGCAGCTGTTTTTAAGTGTCCAAGCATCGTGCCCTTGTCTAAATTTCAATTTTCTGAAACGTCTTAACAGGAGGGTCCACAGCTACTGCAGCAGCCACCGCCACAGCAAGGTCCACAGGGTCCACTATAGAACCCACACCTAGGTCCAAAACATCGACCACTGAAGCAAGGGCTGCAGCATGGGTAGTAGCAGGTTCCACAGCAAGGTCCGCAACACATGACTATATGATTTAAATTAAAGTAGGAAAAAATGTATTTATTTTACACATGACTATATGTTTTAAATTAATGTAAGATAAAATGTATTTATATATTTTTTCTTTTAATACTCACTGGATAATTGGAAGCCAAAAAATTGAACACTTAACAAGATATTTTTGATGTTGTCGGGTTTGATGCCGGTGTAAGACTAAATAAATAAGGCAGGACAAGTCGTACACCCATTTGACAGATGGAAGAAAAACGATCAAGGCTGACTAGATGATAATTACTTTAAATTCAAAGGGTATTTTCGATAAATCCTTAAATTAAAATTTTGTTGTTGGATTGTAGCTATATAGCTGAGCCAACTCTTGTTATTTTCTGACCATTTGTAAGCCAGTTTCCGTTTGCCATCAGAAACTAATTTCTGCTATAACTATGAACCCAAGTGAATGTGAGCCTTTCAGTCTTAACCAGTTTTGTGCCTAAAACAGCGTTATTCTTCATTAATATTCCACATCCACTTGGCACACAACTACACTTATGTAAATTAGCGGCACTACTAATATACGGCGTATTCTTGGATAATTAACAACGTCGAACAAGTTCCAATCCTAGTTTCATGGCGTGCATTACCCTGAAGTCATGTGGTAAACGTGAAAGACCACCACTTGACCATTTAGCGGGCTCGTAGTTGACACACGTCTCCAGGACTACGATATAATTCCAAGCCTAATGACCACTGCGCACTTCCGCCGAGGCCTCCAACTCAAGGACCCTCATGCGTATTTCTACGAGTCCGGGCTGTAATAAATATTCAAATACAGTCGCCTAAGTGTGTCGCATATTAAAAAGTAATTTTCCCAGCAAATGAGTTAACATTTTAGCTTTAGTTGGACATGGCAAAGCGTAGGAGCCATAAGTATAGCTAAAGAAGACGGAAGCACATGCTGTTCGACATGAGCTTGGCCGGAAGTGCCATACGTGCCGGAAATGCGTGATTTTTGAGGTCGAAACGGATTATTTTTAGGTCGATATGTGAAAGCCTAGAAAACTTTCGATAACTAATGCTCAGAAATTATGAGTATTTAAGTTAATGAACAGAATTTGGGAAACTACAAGTAACAAACCTAACTGTAAATTTGCTATTTTTTATACCCTTGCTGGGTTTTATAATTTCAGTCAGAGGCTTGCAACAAACGGAAGGAGTCGTTTCCGACCCTATAAACTATATACGTTCTTGATCAGAATCAACAGGCGAATCTTTCTAGGCGTATCGCAAAGAAAATATTTTTCTTAAATATTTTTGCAAATTTTCATCGTTAAAACTGCCAAAAATTGCGATAAAAAAATTTAATTTTTAACATTTTAAATGAAGTATGCAGATTTATTGGCCTAACAAAAACTTGCACAACGCAGCTTTCCGAATCAAAATTAATGCGTTTTTGGCTTAGTTATGAGTTTTTTAAACTTTGATTTGTTGAACAAATTGTCATATAAAAATATAAATAATATCGGCTCAAAAATGGTATTAAGGTTTTAGTCAGAGGCTTGTAAAACTGTGAAGGAGTCGTTTCCGACCCTATAAACTATATACGTTCTTGATCAGAATCAACAGACGAATCTTTCTAGGCGTGTAACAGAGAAAATATTTTCTTTTTATTTTTTCCAAATTTTCATCGTTAAGATTGCCAAAAATTGCGATAGAAAATTTTAATTTTTAACATTTTAAATGAAGTATGCAGATTTATTGACCTAACAAAAACTTGCGCAACGCAGCTTTCCGAATCAAAATTAATGCGTTTTTGGCTTAGTTATGAGTTTTTTAAACTTTGATTTGTTGAACAAATTGTCATATAAAAATATTAATAATATCGGCTCAAAAATGGTATTAAGGTTTTAGTCAGAGGCTTGTAAAACTGTGAAGGAGTCGTTTCCGACCCTATAAACTATATACGTTCTTGATCAGAATCAACAGACGAATCTTTCTAGGCGTGTAACAGAGAAAATATTTTCTTTTTTATTTTTTCCAAATTTTCATCGTTAAAACTGCCAAAAATTGCGATAAAAAAAATTTAATTTTTAACATTTTAAAAGAAGTATGCAGATCTATTGGCCTAAAAAAACTTGCACAACGCAGCTTTCCGAATGAAAATTAATGCGTTTTTGGCTTAGTTATGAGTTTTTTAAACTTTGATTTGTTGAACAAATTGGCATATAAAAATATTAATAAGATCGGCTCAAAAATGGTATTAAGGTTTTAGTCAGAGGCTTGTAAAACTGTGAAGGAGGCGTTTCCGACCCTATAAACTATATACGTTCTTGATCAGAATCAACAGGCGAATCTTTCTAGGCATGTAACAGAGAAAATATTTTCTTTTTTATTTTTTCCAAATTTTCATCGTTAAGATTGCCAAAAATTGCGATAAAAAAATTTAATTTTTAACATTTTAAATGAAGTAAGCAGATTTATTGGCCTAACAAAAACTTGCACAACGCAGCTTTCCGAATCAAAATTAATGCGTTTTTGGCTTAGTTATGAGTTTTTTAAACTTTGATTTGTTGAACAAATTGGCATATAAAAATATTAATAAGATCGGCTCAAAAATGGTATTAAGGTTTTAGTCAGAGGCTTGTAAAACTGTGAAGGAGTCGTTTCCGACCCTATAAACTATATACGTTCTTGATCAGAATCAACAGACGAATCTTTCTAGGCGTGTAACAGAGAAAATATTTTCTTTTTTATTTTTCCAAATTTTCATCGTTAAGATTGCCAAAAATTGCGATAGAAAATTTTAATTTTTAACATTTTAAATGAAGTATGCAGATTTATTGACCTAACAAAAACTTGCGCAACGCAGCTTTCCGAATCAAAATTAATGCGTTTTTGGCTTAGTTATGAGTTTTTTAAACTTTGATTTGTTGAACAAATTGTCATATAAAAATATAAATAATATCGGCTCAAAAATGGTATTAAGGTTTTAGTCAGAGGCTTGTTAAACTGTGAAGGAGGCGTTTCCGACCCTATAAACTATATACGTTCTTGATCAGAATCAACAGGCGAATCTTTCTAGGCATGTAACAGAGAAAATATTTTCTTTTTTATTTTTTCCAAATTTGCATCGTTAAAACTGCCAAAAATTGCGATAAAAAAATTTAATTTTTAACATTTTAAATGAAGTATGCAGATTTATTGGCCTAACAAAAACTTGCACAACGCAGCTTTCCGAATCAAAATTAATGCGTTTTTGGCTTAGTTATGAGTTTTTTAAACTTTGATTTGTTGAACAAATTGTCATATAAAAATATAAATAATATCGGCTCAAAAATGGTATTAAGGTTTTAGTCAGAGGCTTGTAAAACTGTGAAGGAGTCGTTTCCGACCCTATAAACTATATACGTTCTTGATCAGAATCAACAGACGAATCTTTCTAGGCGTGTAACAGAGAAAATATTTTCTTTTTTATTTTTTCCAAATTTTCATCGTTAAGATTGCCAAAAATTGCGATAGAAAATTTTAATTTTTAACATTTTAAATGAAGTATGCAGATTTATTGACCTAACAAAAACTTGCGCAACGCAGCTTTCCGAATCAAAATTAATGCGTTTTTGGCTTAGTTATGAGTTTTTTAAACTTTGATTTGTTGAACAAATTGTCATATAAAAATATTAATAATATCGGCTCAAAAATGGTATTAAGGTTTTAGTCAGAGGCTTGTAAAACTGTGAAGGAGTCGTTTCCGACCCTATAAACTATATACGTTCTTGATCAGAATCAACAGACGAATCTTTCTAGGCGTGTAACAGAGAAAATATTTTCTTTTTTATTTTTTCCAAATTTTCATCGTTAAAACTGCCAAAAATTGCGATAAAAAAATTTAATTTTTAACATTTTAAAAGAAGTATGCAGATCTATTGGCCTAAAAAAACTTGCACAACGCAGCTTTCCGAATGAAAATTAATGCGTTTTTGGCTTAGTTATGAGTTTTTTAAACTTTGATTTGTTGAACAAATTGGCATATAAAAATATTAATAAGATCGGCTCAAAAATGGTATTAAGGTTTTAGTCAGAGGCTTGTAAAACTGTGAAGGAGGCGTTTCCGACCCTATAAACTATATACGTTCTTGATCAGAATCAACAGGCGAATCTTTCTAGGCATGTAACAGAGAAATATTTTCTTTTTATTTTTTCCAAATTTTCATCGTTAAGATTGCCAAAAATTGCGATAAAAAATTTAATTTTTAACATTTTAAATGAAGTAAGCAGATTTATTGGCCTAACAAAAACTTGCACAACGCAGCTTTCCGAATCAAAATTAATGCGTTTTTGGCTTAGTTATGAGTTTTTTAAACTTTGATTTGTTGAACAAATTGGCATATAAAAATATTAATAAGATCGGCTCAAAAATGGTATTAAGGTTTTAGTCAGAGGCTTGTAAAACTGTGAAGGAGTCGTTTCCGACCCTATAAACTATATACGTTCTTGATCAGAATCAACAGACGAATCTTTCTAGGCGTGTAACAGAGAAAATATTTTCTTTTTTATTTTTCCAAATTTTCATCGTTAAGATTGCCAAAAATTGCGATAGAAAATTTTAATTTTTAACATTTTAAATGAAGTATGCAGATTTATTGACCTAACAAAAACTTGCGCAACGCAGCTTTCCGAATCAAAATTAATGCGTTTTTGGCTTAGTTATGAGTTTTTTAAACTTTGATTTGTTGAACAAATTGTCATATAAAAATATAAATAATATCGGCTCAAAAATGGTATTAAGGTTTTAGTCAGAGGCTTGTTAAACTGTGAAGGAGGCGTTTCCGACCCTATAAACTATATACGTTCTTGATCAGAATCAACAGGCGAATCTTTCTAGGCATGTAACAGAGAAAATATTTTCTTTTTTATTTTTTCCAAATTTGCATCGTTAAAACTGCCAAAAATTGCGATAAAAAAATTTAATTTTTAACATTTTAAATGAAGTATGCAGATTTATTGGCCTAACAAAAACTTGCACAACGCAGCTTTCCGAATCAAAATTAATGCGTTTTTGGCTTAGTTATGAGTTTTTTAAACTTTGATTTGTTGAACAAATTGTCATATAAAAATATAAATAATATCGGCTCAAAAATGGTATTAAGGTTTTAGTCAGAGGCTTGTAAAACTGTGAAGGAGTCGTTTCCGACCCTATAAACTATATACGTTCTTGATCAGAATCAA